ACCTCCAACTGAATTGTCACTCACTCAGTCTGAGCATTTTAGGCCCTGGCAGGACCAGGCTCTTTGACTGTAATCTCTTCGGAACAGGCATTCCACAGTGAATTCTTTAAAGTGCAGTGTAAATGTGCAGAACTATATCACTGTCACATAACAATAAATACTAATTATGACTCAGATGACACTGCTATGGGCAATACGGAGACAATTCTGTAGATGACCTTTTTGCACTAGTAGCCACATCTCTCTCTAATTCATATTCTCAAATATGATTTTCTACAGCTCTAGTGACCAATATATGCCGGCTAGCACATAAATGTATATCAATCATATATATGTATGTATGTTAGTATGCATTAAGCACCAATACCATGAAGCACAAACATTGTACCAGTGATGTAGCCTAAACTGGCCTATCCCATAGTTTAGTTCACTTATGATAAGTTTCCCATAATTCCTTGCACTTGCTGGAGTAAGCATTTGGCGTAAGTGGATAGGAAACTGGGCAAAATCAAGATATATTCGTCCTATGTCTTAGTACAAGCTAGCATAGTACCTTCATGGACAAGTACCTGGAATGCTTGTAAACAAAACGAAGATAAGGAACAGAACAAGTTAGGGAACTGGGACAAACTGATGGGTTGAATTTTAGTGATGTGTAAAGAGAGATGTAACTTGTAAAATCATGATATAAATAATACCATCTGAAACACGTAACTTGGGGGAGCACAGCTTCTGTGTAAGGTGAATGTAACATTGTTCCATGGGATGGCTCCTCAGAGACTGGTATCACATAGAACCTTTTCCAGTACCATATTAATAAACCTGACTGACACTGGTTATTTGGTCTCTTGAATATATTTCATAATGAACCAAAGTGTGGTCAAAAAATTGACTATACAATTTATCAACACCACCTCTTCCATCACAATTTCTATTTTTCTTTAAAATAATTTATTTTAAAAAATATTTTGTATGCATTTTTAATTGAATTGTGTTGGATAATTAATACATCTTCTCCTCCTAAAACCACATTTTTCGCTTTAAAACAATCCTAGTGTGCCTCATATTCTTAAATATGTATAATACTACCAACTGGCGAAGTCACCCATCAGGGATGAGTTGTGTGCTGTGACATGCAGTAATCATGAATGGACTTGAAATCATTAAAAGACACAATCAGGTTAAAAATTATAATAAAAATTCTTACATCCATTACTAACATCACTTCAGAATATTACAACTAAATCATTGGAAACCTTGTATACCTTCTATTTTTGATCTATTTCCTCATCTAAACAGTAGAAAAAGTCAATACTACCTTAAAGAGGCCATTAGATGGGAAAGTATGCCTAAAATGCAAAATTGCTAATGATGGTTGAGGGTTTTTTTTGTCTCTGTGTCCTAGAAAGAGAGCCAAGACACTTCCCCATCCTGTGTAACTCCTAGTTGGCACAGAGACTTGCTAATGGAATGCTGGAATTTTTGCCCTCCCGTTAGGGGAAAGCAGAAGCTTTCTCCTGAAAACTGGACAAACTAGATAGGAGCAAGTTACAAGTGGAGCAAAACAAGAAGCCAAAATCTAGGCCTGCAACAAAGTGAGAGAGAGAGAGAGGAATAAAGCTGTAAGTGAAATTCCAAATAATACTACAGCCTTTTAGAGCAAAAGTTACAAGTGCTGGAGTATAAAACATGTAACAAAAGCACTGGACTCCTAAGTGCCTGGATACTACGGTGATACACTTATTAGAAATGCCATGGATTAGATCAAATTGGGATCTCTAGTAGGGAGGAATGGATCAAAGTCACAGAATTTATATGCAAGCTTACTGGGGCTCCATTTTAAGGAAGAGTTGTGTGGTGCTTCAGAGTGCCATGCACTTACCTCCTCTTGTTGGGTGGAGACAGAACTTAGTATTAACAGGTAAGGCCCCCATCTTGAATGATCAAGAAATTATTAGCTGCAAAGGAAAAACAGAGTGAAGTAGAAAAGTTTGAAAATTCTGTTTTTCCAGCACCTCAGAGCAAAAGGTGGGAACAGACTGATAAAATAAAACACACTGATAAAATAAAAGAGCTCAAAGGTACAGCACAACCAAGGCTCTGAAAACAGATGCATTGAGGTAAAACTTTCTTGCTTTTAAATGTATGTTATATTGTTTTTAGTTTCCTTGTAAAGACAAACCCCAGACAGGGGTTGAGCTATGATACCAGCAACATGTCTGAGCTGCATTTGGAGCACAATGGGATAATCTAATAATTTAATAATCTAATCTTCCATGTAGAGAAAAAATGGCAGAACAATATCATTGCCTCACTTGTTGCTTATTCATGACATTTTATTTTGTCTCTCTCCCATTTCCCTCTGTTCTTCTACTTAGACAGTAAGCAAAGACCTTGTCTTTTACATGTCTATAAAGTGCCCAGCTAGTTGCAGATAATATACAACTTAAAAAAAAATACTCGTATGTTCCATGGACATTTAACAGACATTTGAAGTGCCTCATGGCTAGCTAACATGTCGTATGCCATTAACATTGAGGGATGTAACTAGATATTAATATAACAGGGAATGAGGTATGCTGATTCTGATGAGGTAGTGGAAGCATTAATCTTCCTTCATTCTAAGTACACAAGCCCGATCTGGTCCATTTCCGTGCAAGATGCAGATCCAAAAAATACATGAAGTGCTTTATTTGCTGACAGGTAATATTTATGCATTCATAATTAAACTATTAAAAATGAAGAGTCCTTAAAGCCTTTTGTTCAAACAAGCCACTGGAACACTTCCCACTGCTTACAGTCATCTCTTGAAAGGTGCCCAGTTGCAAATTACCACATAGGAGTCCATTGCCCCCCAGTAGAAGACCAAACCTGGAAGCCCCCAAATGAGCAATACAGCCCCTGGTTTGAAGGCGGGAGGATGATTCTGTGGTCTATGCAGCAGACCTGAGATGTGTTGTAACCAAAGGTTCAAACACCAGCAGGGCTGGCTTGGCTCCCCATTCTGTCACACAGCTAAAATGATTAGGACTGGTCAGGAACGTTTGACTAAAAGTGTTTCCATGGGAAAATGCCAATTTGTTGAAACTGAAACATTTCACAGAAATTTATCCGTTTCGACAAAACTTGTGCTGTGAAATGTTTCTAAGGTCCATAATGGAATTCCTGGTCAAAGCAAGAGAGAAGTGAGACCCCTGAATAGTCAATGGCCCAGTGGCTCTGAGACCAGGCAGAACAACTGGGGTCTCCCACATCCCCAGCGTACAGCCTAACCCAGTGGCTCTCAACCTTTCCAGTCTGGAGTCTGCTTTGTCTTGTATACCCCAACTTTCACCTCACTGAAAAACTACTTGCTTACAAAAATCAGACAAAAGCGTCACAGCACACTGTTATTGATAAATTGCTTGTTTTCCCATTTTTTACCATGTAATTATAAAACAAATAAATTGGAATATAAATATTGTATTTCCATTTCAGTGCATAGTATACAGACCAGGATAAACAAGTCATTGGCTGTATGAAAGTTTAGTTTGTACTGACTTTGGTAGCGCTTTTTATGTAGCGTGTTGTAAAACTAGGCAAATATCTAGATGAGTTGACCTACCCCCTGAAAGACCTCTGTGTACCCCCCGGCCGACAAGTACCCCCACTTGAGACCTGCTGCCCTAACCGTAGGGCTGTTCGCTCTCACCAGTGGGGCTCTTTTGTGCCTGAGGTTGTTGGTTTTACAAAAAAGGCCAGAAAGTTTCTGTTCCCATTCCACATCAGAACGAAAAACAAACGTGCAACTCTCCGAGCGCCTCACCGGAGGGAAACGTTGTTTTGCAGCCAGGCCCAGGCCACAAGCCCTGTGCCCGGCCAGGCGGCTCTGCAGGGGCTGCTCCGTCAGCGCTGGGCTCTGCCGGGCGGCCTCAGCCCTGGCCCCGCGCGGAGCCAGCCGGGCCGGCGGAGCCGCGGGCCTAGGCGGGGGCCACAGCGCCGGGGGCAGCAGGGGCCCAACCGGGCCCTCACCAGAGGCTGGAGCAGACCCGCGGTCTGTCTATCCACTTGCCCCGGGCGCCGTGCTCGGCGTTTCTCACGCTCTGTTCTGGAGTCTGGACTTTGGCTCTGCCCTGACCAAGAAGTTTGGACCCTGACAAAAAATAATTGGCCCGCGCCCTGAGGGGCCGGGAGTGGGCCGCCCCCTCGCACCGGGACATTCTGGGGTCACAGGAGCCTGGTCCCCCACCCCCCCCCCCCCGCAGCGCGGCCGGCAGCCCTCAGCGCCCCCCCCGCAGCGCGGCCGGCAGCCCTCAGCGCCCCCCCGCAGCGCGGCGGGCAGCCCTCAGCGCCCCCCCGCAGCCGGCCGGCAGCCCTCAGCGCCCCCCCCGCAGCGCGGCGGGCAGCCCTCAGCGCCCCCCCCCGCAGCGCGGCGGGCAGCCCTCAGCGCCCCCCCCCGCAGCGCGGCGGGCAGCCCTCAGCGCCCCCCCCCAGCGCGGCGGGCAGCCCTCAGCGCCCCCCCCCGCAGCGCGGCGGGCAGCCCTCAGCCCCCCCCCAGGCCGGCAGCCCTCAGCGCCCCCCCCCGCAGCGCGGCGGGCAGCCCTCAGCGCCCCCCCCCAGGCCGGCAGCCCTCAGCGCCCCCCCGCAGCGCGGCGGGCAGCCCTCAGCGCCCCCCCCCAGGCCGGCAGCCCTCAGCGCCCCCCCGCAGCGCGGCGGGCAGCCCTCAGCGCCCCCCCCGCAGCGCGGCGGGCAGCCCTCAGCGCCCCCCCCCCAGGCCGGCAGCCCTCAGCGCCCCCCCCGCAGCGCGGCGGGCAGCCCTCAGCGCCCCCCGCAGCGCGGCGGGCAGCCCTCAGCGCCCCCCCGCAGCGCGGCGGGCAGCCCTCAGCGCCCCCCCGCAGGCCGGCCCTCCCCCCCGCAGCGCGGCGGGCAGCCTCAGCGCCCCCCCAGGCCGGCAGCCCTCAGCGCCCCCCCCGCAGCGCGGCGGGCAGCCGCCGCCGGGCTGGGCTGGCCCCGCCCCTCGGAGCTGGCCCCGCCCAGCTGCGCTCCCTGCGCGCGGGCGCCCGGCCGGGACCTTAAAGAGCCGGGGGGCGGGCGCGAGCCGGCTGGGAGCGGATCGGCCGGCGGGGACCGTGTGCACAGGTAGGGCCGCCGCCCCTCCACGTGGCGGGCTCGGGGGTCGGGACCGGCCTGAGGCGGGGGAGTGTGAGAGGGGTTGGAAGGGCTGGAGTGGGGGTCACGGGGAGGGGTTACCAGTACTGGGGTTGGGGGCAGGATGAGGCGGGGGGGTCACTGGTGGCCGGTGGAGGGAGTAGGGTTGCAAAGACTGGGGTTGGGGTTAGGATGGGATGGGGGGGTCACTGGTGGGGGGGAAGGGATGGGCGGGGATAGGGTGGGGGAGGGGTTGCAAGTACTGGGGTTGGGGGCAGGATGGGATTGGGGGTTACGGGGTTGGGGGAAGGGGGGTCATTGTTGTGCGGGAGGGGTTACAAGTACTGGGGTTGGGGGCAGGATGGGAGATATGGGTAGGGGAGCCTGATGTGGGGGTGGGTCACAGGAGACTTACAGGCACTGGCGGTGGGGAGGGCTATGGAAGCCTGATATGGTGGAGAGGGGGGTCACTGGAGTGGGTGCTGTAGGTTTCTGGCTAGGTAAGAGCTCACTGGTGGGGCGTTTGAGCTCATGCTGGCTGATGGATGAGGGCCCCTATCGGGGATGCTTGCTCTCTGTGGCACATGGCCTTTCCTCTCTAGGGCCTCAGTTTTCTCTAGTCCCAGGTCAGGGGGCACTAAGTGGCTAACAGGGCTTGTGGGGAAGGACGTGGGGCCTTTAGCTGCTAAGGCATGTGTTGGAATGGGGTTTGGGAGTTCTGGGAAGTGTATTAATAGGGGACTTTTTGCCTCTAAAGGTATTCCATTACAGCCCCACGCTGGGGGGACTGGCTTTGTTTGGGAGGAATGGGAGAATCAGTCCCCAAGTGGGGATTGTGTGTGGGAAGGCTTTGCTGATGCTTCCCATGCTGTACCTTTGCTACATATGGGCAGAAACAGAGGATTTCTGTTTCAGGGCTATTAATCTGGTGCACTGTACTATCATCAAAATGTTTGTTTTAATGTAGTTGGTTTAATTGGCTGTGGATGACTCTCCTTAACTTTGGCATAGATGTGCTCACTGGGATGAAAAGCATAAAGTACAGTTTCAGCACTTGATACATTACAAAGTTTCCAGGAGGCAAACCTCACTTTTTGGGTACGTTGCTGGTGTTCCCCTAGGAAAGAACTTGTGATTCCAGGCTGCAAAGCAGTGCTAGCTTCAAAATCACCAATATGGCTCTTTTTAGAGTAGGTTTTTGATCGCTGCAAGGGATGTGCTCTGGGTTAGGTCAAATAAAGTTTCTCCATATACTTTTGGAAAGGATTTGTCTAGTGCATCTTCAGTTCTGTAACAGTCTGAGCTTTTGAATTACTGACATTTCCTGACAAACTTTGAAAATGTTCCCTGCTTAGACACCATTCTGCTGAAATCCTATATTCTGTGTTGCTTTCTTCAGTAGTAAGTGTGGTCTAGCAGTTCTGGGTTCTACTCCTGGATCGGCTACTGACTTGCTGTGGGCTGTAGGCAAGTTGCTTAACCTCTGCCTCATTTCCCCCCATTTAGGGAAACTACTTGCCTATATCACAGAGGCACTAAGGCTTAATTTTCATAAAATCCTTTCAAATCCTCTGAAAACTATTACAGAAGTCAAATGACTTGTCACTTAAAAAATGGGACCCTTGTTCTTTAGGTGCTAGCTTGCTCCCGGAGGCCTGAACTCATAATTCCATCTAGTAATGATATTATTTTTTTAAAGGGGAAGAGATACAGGAAAAAATGATACAGTGTGGAATCATCTCTCCCTATGATAGAGCAATGGATGTTTCGGCTCTTCATTTGTCTACTGTACCCGACTTGCTAATCCTGTTTCTCTCCTAAATTCATTTTTAAATCTGCTGGATATTTTGGAGGGTCTGCGCACTTACATCCTGAAGCATTTAGAGTGTTGTATTTTTCTTGTCCCTGATTTCTTCCCTTCTTTCTTACTAAGAAAATCTTTGAAACTTTTAAAAATACAAACTTTGCTATCTTAATTTTTTTCTGCTACTCTAACTTAGGACTAAATTTAGGTTGATATAGGTACGATGCTCCAGGGTGTGCAAAATTCACACCCCTGACTCTGTAGCTATGCAGACCTAACCACTGGTGTGGACGCACCTACATCAACAGAAATATGCTTCCACCAACCTAGCTACCATTGTTTGGGGAGGTGGAGTTTCTCCTTCTGTTGCTCTAGTCTGCATCTATGCTATGAAGTTGCAGCAGCACGGTGATGGCTCAGTAACTATGCCACTATAGCTTCTGAAACCTATAGCGTAGATATGGCCTTATAATTGACACTTGCTAGGAAAGAGCAGAAGCCCTTTTCCATCATGTCTTTCCTTTCTGTGCCAGTCAAACTCAGAATTATGATTTGGCAGCTGAAAGTTTGTTTTGGGGACTGGAAGGGAGAAGCCCTTATTATTATACAAAGATTTGCAACAACAACAAAGGGGGATACCTGGCTGGCCGCTTCCTGTGAGCAGAATGTTGTGTGTGGGTCACCCTGAATGGTAGTTCCTGTTACAGCCTTGGAGTCTATGGTGTAAAGGATTTCAATGCTAAAACTTGCCTCACTCTACTACTGATTAAGCTTGTGGTCCTAGCACAATGAGGCTGGTTAAGTTAATGATTTTTAGTGGTGGATATTGGCACATATCATTGTGGGGTTGTTGCTTGCTTCTCTCTGTACTTCCCCTTTCACTCCTGCTGATGAAACACTGCACCATTCCTGCACCTCAAGGCTTTCACTGTAGCAATAAGGATGGGTGGACAAGTGAGGGGACTGCTTCCTGCAGCTAGCTATGTCACTGGGGACTTGTGAATTTACCTACTGGAGGGCTCTTCCAAATGAAGAGCGCGAATGAAACATTTCTAAGAATTAATTTAGAGGAAGTTAAAGATGCTCTTAAACTTTTGCTATTTTTATCAGGAATACCCTGAAATGCAGAGTGCATCCTGCTTCCTGATTCTTTGCATTTAACCATGTGCTTGTATCTGCTCTATTAATATAATACTGTAATATAAGGCAGTTACTGTTTGTCTAGATGGCACAAGACCTTGCCTCTGGAAGGGCACTTCAGCTGTTCATGTTCTTGTCAATCTATGAGTTGTTGGGAGCAATGCTTGACACTGTCTCTCATGACTGTGATGCAATCCAGGGAACAGCACTACAGTCATAAGCTAGTAAAATGTGACCTACTTTGCTTAGTGGCTAATGTTGTGTCCCCATCTGTAAGGGGAGTACAGGGACCTAATTCTAGTTAGGAGTGGGTCTGCACAATATATGCAAACTTCATTTGTACTCTTCAGGGGTCCTTCATTCTTGTCCTTCTAGGTCATCTGTACCCAAAATAACTGCCAATAGCCTCTTTGATTCCCTGTACCAAAAGAAGGAAAATATTGCTGGTTTACCTTTTCTGGGGTTGAGATTTATAATAAAAAATTTCAGGCTTTTTACTGACTAACATAACATATCACAGAGCATCTCTTCTGCTTATGCTTGTCTCTGGTCTGAGAGCTCAACCCCAGAGGTGAAAGTAAGCCGGTATGCCCCGGTACGGCGTACTGGCAAGAGCTGGTGCATTGTACTGAGGCAGCCCGGCTTCCCCGGGGCAATTTAAAGGGCCTCCAGAGCCCTGCTGCTGGAGCCCTGGGGTAGAGGCTGCAGGCCTCCAGCAGTTATTTAAAGGGCCTGGGGCTCCCATTTCCCCAGGACTCTGGCAGCTAATTAAAGGACCGTGGCAGTAGAAGCAGGGGAGCCCTGGGCCCTTTAAATAGCCCCTGGAACCCTGGGCGGCTGCTGCTGCTACCCCAGTGGGGAAGGAGGGAGGGGGCTGGCTCTGGCTCTGACCCCCCTCAGCCCCGCCCCTTCTGTCCTAGGCCCCACCCCTTCCAGGGGCCAAAGCTGGCCCCAGTGTACCAGTACCGTAAGTCGGTTGACTTACTTTCACCCCTGTTCAACCCCTCCAAATAAAATTCCCACTGACAAGCCTGGTAAGTTTAGGTTTCAAGTGTGAGGCCTTTTAGGTGAGTTGTATCTTAATATCTTGTATATGGACGGAATGGAGCCCTTTTAGTCCACTTGCTGTTACACCCACAAAAAAAATCACTGGTGATTGCACTCTGTATCTCATTATGTACTGAAATGACCTGTGGAGTAGAGTAGAACTTTATTACTGTACAGACATAGCATTTAACTGGTTCTTTGCACTCTCATGTGCTCCTGGTGCTAAAATGTATGGCCTGATTTATTCATTTTTTTTAAATAGCTGCAGAGCTTCAGGATTTTGCTGAATGGCAGGTGCTCAGTAGTTCTGAAATCAGACCATTGTAGCCCAAATAAACAGTTTGAACCAGATCAGTACTCCCTAAGCAGATCTCAGCGTTTAGTGTTTGTTTTTAACACCGCAGGATGTCTGATGTGCATGTGCTATTGCTTAGGCTGTTTGGTAAGAAACGGCTGCTACTCTGAAACCTGGTAAGAAATCTTTTATCTTAAGAAAATGTAGGCCTTCATTTTCTAAGTAGCTAGCCTAATTTCTACATACAGTAAAAGAAAATGGCTTAAAGCAGGGCTAGTCAATAGGCAGACTGCAGGCCAAATCTGGACCGCCAGATGCTTTTGAATGGACCCTGAAATCATTTTATTTACTTATTATTATCATTGTTGTTTGTTTGTTTTTTCTCTGGAGTCTAGACCTTGACTATACTTTGACCAAAAAATTTGGATCTTGACAGAAAATAATTGACTGCCCCAGCTTAAAAGTGACTTAACGCAAGTTTTAAAACTTCCGACTTCTGTTGGTTACACGGTAAGAATTAGTCCGCTTTCTTTTTGTACACTTTTAACTTGGTAACATAAAGTATTAGTGCTTCAGAGTGATCTGTTTTTTATGACTGACAAATTGCAAGTGTTAGCTAAATGGGCAAGACTGAATTGTAAAGATCAAGCCAGAGTCAACTGAATTGTCATATAAAAATATTGAGCTTCACCATTCTGACCTAATTGCACTTGGGTTTTTTCTTTTAATGTCCTTGTGCCATTTTATAGCCTTGATACTGAAATTGCTAAAAGGTAATAGAAGCTTGTATGGGAGGAGAATACAAAGAGTGGAGTCCTATCTGTTTTCTTGTTGACTAGTGTATGAATTGGCTGGCTTATTTCCAGTAGACCTACAATAACTCAAAGAACTCCTAAGCCATATAAGGTCTACATTTTTAACAATCAGAGTAATTAACCAGCGGAGCAGCTTACCAATGGATTTGCTGGTTTCTCCATCACTTGCAGTCTTTAAAACAAGATTGGCTGTGTCTCTGACAGACATTATTGGACTTGATATAAGGATTATTGGGTGGAATTCTGTGGCTTGTGTTATGCTCCTCTGGTCTCACCTCCTGCACAGTGATTCTGTTCTGGCCGTAATGTGCTGTAGATGGCAAACAGTTCATAAATTTGGAATAATAATCTAGGAGCCAAGTTTCAGAGGTGTAACTCTATGTAAACTGTACAAGTTCACTGTAGCTGTCCCATTTCGCATTTCATCTTTGTCTCCTATGACCCACTTGCCACTGCTGTATTTTTATTTGTATTGCAGTAGTGCTTACATGTTGCAGTCATGGACCAGGACCCCATTGTCCTAGGCACTGTACAAACACAACAAGGGCTGTCCCTGTCCTAGAGAGTTTACAATCTCAGTACAAGACAAGAGATAGCAGGTGGATACGGACAGACAGACTGAAGCCCAAGGAACTGCTAGTTCTCATTGCTGTATTAAATGAGTGTAGAGATGGTGTTTATGCAGCTTGTCCTTTCCTGGAGGCAGCAAATCTGTTGGATGACCCCATTCAAGTGTGGAGCTGTTCCATTGAGGTCCAGTTGCTGTTCAGATGTTTCTACCATTCTTCCATGCCTTCTCAGATTTGGTGTGACCATCTCCTGATGCCAGTTCTAGCTGATAACCCTGAACACTGATCAAGCTACTTCATAGAAAATCATAATGAAAATAGCTCTTTTTTTTATGAAAAGATGTCTGAAATCTGAATGTAAAACAAGAATTTTACTTTCATTGCTGCCTCTATGTACCTGAACATGTCTTATATAAGTGTAAGAGTCCCCTGCTCATGCTAAATTACACCTTTTATAAACCAATGAATAAGGCAGTTCAATGCAGGTTGTCTGTATTCTTGGGTGCTTTTGTACCTTGTTGTTGGAAGACATGGTATGTGAGGCTACCCTACTGTCTGGGCATAGTATGAAGTGGGAAGATGAATGGAAGATGTGCCAGTTTTGGTTCTGAACGCATGATACTTGTGATGGAGTGTCTGTAATTTAGATCTCTGACAGCATAAAAGAGGAGAACTCTATTTTGCTCTGTTATTTGCAAGGATGGGGGTGGGTGGAGGGTGTTGTCTCATGCTTGAAATCTACATAACTAGATACTGACTTAAAAATTAAATCTACAGACCAATTGCATTGGGCAACTGCATTATATGCTCCCCTATGCTGCCCTGGACATGATCTCAACCTGTCCTGGTCCCTTAGGTACTGGACTAAGAGCATCAAACTTCTCAAAAGCTGCACGTAAGCTAAGGAGAGATTCCACTGCAAGTTAAATCTAATTAAACATTGTGGCACTGGTTTTATTGTTGCACTTGCAGCTTTTATGACTTTTTTCTCCTCCTCCCCTCATGAAACCAGCTTATATGAAGTAGTTTTACAAGGAAATGTGGGTCTCTTCCCACCATTGTTAGTATGACTCATTTATGAGAGATCATTTAGAAGCTGGCAGAGTACAACTATGTAAAATTCAAAGATGTTGTGTGCAGGGTTATATTTAACACTTGGAGCCACTTCTGATCAAACATTGTCATATAAATGACTTTAAAACACTCCCTGATAGTCTAAAGCCTCATCTGTGCTACTATGTTGGGTGAACGGTAAGTCAGCTGGGGTCAACCTATTTGTGCACACGTCCGCACTAAAATTTGTCTCCCGTTGACGTAAGAAACGCAGTAAGACCATCTCCCTCCATGGCACGGAGCCACCCACTGAGCTCGAAATGGTGAGCATTGATACTAACAATTTTCTAGTAGCTGCCCCATAATGCCCATTCTGTTACAGTGAGCACACTGGTCACTATTGTGAACTCCACTTCCTGGGGTCACAGAGTCTGGAAGCCACCTCCATCCCCTTAAAATAGCCTGTGTATTTTTGAAATGCCTTTTCCTGGGTGCCCAGCTCGGCAAGCACACCCAGCAGTACTCCCTTGTTGTGTGCAGCTGGCCGTGCTGTCTCCATGCGCTAGACGTGTCTGGGGCAGGCAGGAGGTACTAGATCTCCTCCCCACAGGCGCAGAAGAGGTTGAGCAAGAACAGCTATGGACCAGCCATAGAAATGTGGATGTCTGACCAGCCCTAGTGCAGTGTGAAAGTGAAGAAACTGCATTAGGCATACTGTGAGGCCAGGAGCAAAACAATCTGCTTTTGATTATTTCTGCCTTGCAGAGATCTGGCTCTATGCTTGTTAAATACAGTAATTAAATTGAGGGCCTCATATAGTTACTTTAGCAAGCTCTGCAGTGTGGACTGGGGACTCTATTTCCCCTAGTAGTGATTTTTTTTTTAGTGGGGGTGGGTGGGTGGGTGTGTGTATGTGTTTTAAATCCTGAAGATATTTAATACCTTTTTGTCGTGTGATTTGATTCCTGTTACTGGCTTGGACAGACTTTAAAGATCGCTTAATATGAAACTTTTATCTCTGTGCAGTTTAACAGGGTCTGATGTGAAGTCTCTGCTATTAGCCCCTCACTTTTTTCTGTGCTACTTCACCTGCAACGTCCTCTACAACCACTAAACTTTCTATTTGCTGAGCCTGGGGAATCTGAGTAATCCACTCTAGTCCCCACCTAGTTAGAAGGCAAATTGGCTGTAGGTGAATTCAGGAAAATGCTTGTTAACAGGAAGTATTTTGGCCAAGAAAGTGTTTCCTCTCCGAATCTTCTGGTGCTCTTAAAATTCTGCTGTAAACCTGCTCTCAACACTCCTTGTCTGACTCCTCACCTGTCTGGAACGAGGGATTGGCAGTTGTGGTTCATAGTGTTGGTTGTATTTGCTGGGTCACCAAACACTTGACACACAAAGGGTGCTCTTTGGCCATGTCATAGAATCATAGAGATCACAAGGGTAATCCAGTCTAATCCACTCCCCTTTTTTCCCCCTTCTCCTACTAGGAGGAGCTGAGTCCGTCTCCCTGGTCTATGAGAATCTTCTGAATCCGCATCACAAGGTGTGTGAGCCAAGGAGTGTCTCCACAGGCAGCAGATGCTCAAATATAAAAAAGCCTCACTTTTTTTTTTGTGATACCATCCACTCCCCTGTTCCGTTTCTGAGTCGCTCCATTTGCCTCTTACAGTCCCATCACAGACGGGACACAATAATGCATGCAATCCAACTCTCTGACCACATGGAGTCTCAGCCCCAGCAATTCACTCTCCCCTCACTAGGGACTGGGGTAGAGTCCACTTCCACGTTTGACTCATGAGTTCTAGCATGTTTCCCTAGGACGTCCTTCAGAAGTTTATTCCAAGCTTAAACAACATCCTGCCCCCAACTGTGATTGGAGAGATTTTGCTATAGCCAACACCCATCGGCTATTTTAGTAAGGGATGGTATAAAGTAGGCAACAGATCAGAAAAGGAATCTGTGCCAATCTAACAGCTGGCCCTGCATAAGGATGTGAGGGTGAGTGGGCAGCTCCAGTACTTCTGATGTATATAGTTTCGCTCTGATAATAGTATCACAGCTTCTGGAGGCTGCCTTTTTGGACTACAGATAAGAACATCTGCTATCTAGTCTGTTTTATGAGTATTGGGTGCTGCCTTTGGGCATTTATCAGTCTGTCACCCTGTGGTTTGCGGATTGGAGTGCATCTCAAGAGATGCTGGCCATTCTTAATATAACAGTAGGCCTGGCTGTGGGTGAGTTGGGGGTGTCATGGTACTACCATTTACTTGTGGGACAAACTAAACTGTTGATAGCATGAAACAATGAGTGTTGTCTGCAGCTCTTTCTGTGGGTTGATGTCCTTAAGTTCCCTGATGCCTGCTGCTGACCTTATCTCACCCCTTGCACAAATACTGTGGCCGAGTAGGTCCTCAATTGCCCATTGTGTAGTGCAGAGCCCTGGTGAGTCATATATCCCATGTGCAGCTGGGTTAAACCCCCAGCTAGGGGTACGGAGTGGACTTTTGTCCCCCAACCTAATTCTCTAAATCCGCTTAAAGCCAGCAGAACCTGTTTCATTAGCTTGCAGTGAGCCCTAATTCAGCTCCTTCCTGCCCAGGCAAGGACTGTTGACTTTGAAGCAATAAAAACCACTTCCAACTGGAGGAAAGGCCTGTGAGTTGCTCAGGAGCATGCACTCTTGTTGCAAAAGGAAAAATGCTGTCATAGGGTTCTTCCAGACTAAGCTTATGGCTGGGGGCAGAATTCCCACCTGAATTTACACTGTGTAACACTACCCCTTGCTCTGTGAAGTGTACTGCCTGGATGATAGGAAGCGATGTAAACTGATCTAGTGATGCAGAGGTGGTGTGGGGTCAAGTGCTTTGCATTCTGCTAGAATTGGGGTGGTGTTGTATAATGGGTACATTGATTAGAAGATTCAGTGTTTAACAAGTATTTTCCACTGAATGCATCCAGTGAAGTGAGCTGTAGCTCACAAAAGCTTATGCTCTAATAAATTTGTTAGTCTCTAAGGTGCCACAAGTACTCCTTTTCTTTTTAGTATTTAACAAGTTACCACAGAGTACCACTTCCTGTAGCTCACTTATTTCTTGCCTGATCTCAGATGTCACTGTTTTGTAACTGCTAATAGCAACCATTACACAATCAGACTTCCCTGAGCAGAGTCCAGATAGTAACTCATCATATTTCACAGCCGTTAGACTTGGCTTTGGTTCTTTAGTGTTTAGTAGGCCTCTGTTTCCATCCTCATAGGAGACTCGCTAGCCCTGGGAATGAGTTTGGGTTGCTTTGCGAGCTCTTTATAACAGAGGAATGCATCTGATTGGGTTCTAGCATGTGGTCTGTAAATTAAGGTGGGATAGAGCATTCTGATACTTGTAGTCTCTCTAGGCTACAAGATGAGGGTGGTTGTAACTGGTTCATTTTATTCAATATGGGGGATGTGCTATGGGTGCAGTTTTTTTGTGGGGGAAAGGGAGGGCTTGGGGCAGCTGGCATGGTAGAGACTAGTTGTTTATGATACAGGGAGGGAAACTATCAGATGGGACAGATTCAACCTCTCCTGCCCTCTCGCCGGGGGAGGGCAGCAGAGTGTGTGTGGTGGGAAGGGAGCCTGGGCTGGATCTGGCGGAGGCTGTGTGCACTTGGCTCAATTTGTCATTCTACGAGAGAAACTAAATTGTGATTGAAAATAAAGGGTAAGGTTTTCAGAAGTGCCCAAGTTTCTAATTTGGACATGTTAGAGATGCCTGCTGGCTCCTTTGGAAGAATGGGAGTGCTTTTAAAATGCTGCCCATGGAGCATGCAGATGGCAGTGAGCAGCAGGAAAGAAGCAGAAGATTAAACCAGTTGCATTTTCCATGTGCCTCTCTTCCAAAAGACTGGCTCTTCCTGTCCAGCTCCTGGTGCTGTTCTTAAGGAGCAATTAATGCTACACTTTGCTGCTTAGTACACTCTGAATGGAAAGCAGAGCAAGGCTTGCTGAGATGGCTACGCCTCTGCTAATGCCCAGATCTACTGAAAACACCTGTCTCTGAAGCTCCAGATGCCATGTGGCTATTGGACAGATTAAGTTAAACTGGAGGCAGCTGGATTGGCTTCTGCAGCAGCAGGAAGAAGCAAAATATTTCCCAAATGCATGAGGATGTAATCAGTGGGAAGACAGATAAACATAAATAAAGCCTGATAAGAGCATCTTACTCGGGAATTTATTTTTAGAACGCTGACCATGGCTTCGGTAATGGGTCAGTGGCATGCCAAATCTTACGGCCCAGGGAAAAACACAATGTTTGGCTTTAGTAGGAATAGTAGGTAATCCTTGTTCCAGGGGCTGTGGGTTTTTTCTTGTTTCCTCTGAAGTGTAGACACTGAGAATTGGGTTCTGCTTTGCAGTTAGTGCTACAAGGGGAGACTTTCTAAAACAGCAACAGGAATAATTCCTGACTGCCAGCACCTTCTGACACCTTGGGCCAGTCACTTCACCTGTCTATCCCTTCTCCGTCTTGAGCTAGCTTGTGGGTTTAGATTATAACCACTGTGGGGCAGGGACTGTTTCTTGCTGTGTGTTTAGACAGCACCCAGCATACTGGGGCCTTCCTGTTGGCTGGGACCTTCTGTTGCTACTGTATTACAAAAAAATAGGTAAAAAGTAAAACACTTGTGTCCAAACGCTGTAAAGCATGTAAAATTCATGTGAATCTCCACCAGGGAATTCTGGGGAGGGAAATTCCCATTGATGGGAGCTTTAGTGGAGAAAAAGGCCTAGCAGCTTCTAGCAACGTGCTACTGTGTTACTTAAACCTTGCTCCAAGCAGTCTTGGCCTCTGTTTCTGAAATAGCGTTGAATGTGGTTTGTCTGAATTTGAAGCAGATTGGTGCTCAGAACCTGTTCAACTGCATACCTATTGTCAGTGACGGGTCACGGGCTAGTCAGACAGCTCAGAGCAGGGTAGGGTGGCATGGTAGTAAAAATCCTTGTCTTGTCTACACTAGAGCTTGTGATGAACTCTGGGAACAAAGTTTTGGGTCCTGCCCACTTGAGGCTTTGTCTTGTTTGCAAGTCAGAAGGGTGGAAGTCTCTCTTTTCAGCCTTCATGGATGAATTCTGATAATTGCTCAAGGTAACATCCTCCACAGCAGAGGCGGGCAAACTACGGCCCGCGGGACTGTCCTGCCTGGCCCTTGAGCTCCTGGCCTTGGAGGCTAGCCCCCGGCCCCTCCCCTTCTGTCCCCCCTCCCGGGGAGCCTCAGCTCGCTCTGGGCGGCGGGGCTGTGAGTCCTGCCGGACAGTGCGGCAGCATGGCTGGCTCCGCCAGGTGGCACGGCTGCCAGTCCTGCTGCTGAGCGGCAAGGTAAGAGGGCAGCGAGTGGGGAGGTTGGTTAAGGGGCAGTGGGTACCGGGGGGAAGTCAGAAGACAGGGGGCAGAGGTTCTGGGGGTGGGGGTGCTGTCAGGGGACAAGGAATGGGGTGGGGTGGATAGACGTGGGAGTCCTGGGAGGCCTGTCAGGAGGTAGGGGTGTAGAGGGTCCCGGGAGGGGGCAGTCAGGGGACAAAGAGTGGGGGGTTGGATGGGTCAGGAGTTCTGAGGGGGGAAGTCAAGGGGCAGGAAGCGGGAAGGAGCAAATAGGGGTCGGGGGGCCAGGCTGTTTGGGGAGGCACAGCCTACCCAGCCCTCCATACGGTTTCAGAACCCCAATGTGGCCCTCAGGCAAAAAGTTTGCCCACCCCTGCTCCACAGTGATGGCTTCTAACAGTTCAGCAGATGTGGAAGATGAGATGCATGCTTGCAGGATTATAATCTTATACAGAAAACTAACAACAACAAACACCCACCCTGAGCACTCCCTCCTGGTCCTAGCTGTGCAAAGGCTACTGCTGTGACCTTCATAAAGGGGCATTGTAAGGAGATTTTGCGAAGGGCTTGCTGCAGAAATATTTCATTGCATTTTGCTGTGGTCTCTAAATGAGAGCTTCTGTTTTTGGCTGTGGAATTCTGCCAAGCTGGGCTTTTCAGTATACAGTAATTTACTGCGTGGTAGAAATACACATCCTGGATATTCTGCTTTTATACCTCTAAATAAAACAAAAGGGGTGACTATAGCAGTCCGAAGGACCTGGTGCTAGCTACATGAGGGGACTAGATTCTGGCTTGCTTCCAGAGTCTGCAGCCCTGCATGCCAAAAAGGAATTCAGTCTAGCTCTTATACCACATTTGCTACAGGGGAAGGTGGCGTGCAGGGAGAAAAGGTTGCCTGAGGCGATTCATTCCTGGGATTTATAAAGAGTTTACAACATAGAAGATGCAACCCTTGCAGTCATTGCTTGGTCTCACCAGCCTTAATTACTTCAAATGTGGCTACTTTAATGCCTAAATAGGGCAAACTGTAGCTGACTGCTTGGCAGCTGTGAATTTGAGTTCTAAACACGTCTGACACGTAGCAGCTATTCCAAAACAGAATTGGAAGTGTCATAACTATTACTTGGGTTTTGGGGAAATGTTTCATGTTGAACTGACTCCTATTTCTGGGTGTGGTTCTTTT